CTTTGATGTCATAGATAAATAATAATAAAAATTAAATTTGACAAAAAAATATAGAAAAATTTTGACACATTTTTAATATCATATATTCACCATAGTGTGACAATAGAGAGAGAGAGAGAGAGGGGGGGGGGGAGAGGGCACACACATTTGAAGTTTTTACTCTAATGTATTCTACAAGGGGTCAGGTCCTATCCCCCCCACCCCAATGATTATTATATAAGGGTTTATTTGATTCACAATCAGAATTGGAATCGGAATCAAAATGAAAATCTCTCAGAATTGAAATGATTTATTCCCATAGTTTGTTTGATTCAAACAAGAATCAGAACCGAAATTGGAATAGGCTGGAATGGGATTTCATTTCTAAGGGGAGGAAATAGTCATTTCCTCACTAAAATGAGGGAATGCCATTCCACCTAAAATTGGAATGAGATTCCAATTCTGCCCAACTAAAAGTTGGAACCGGATTTGTCCATTCAAATTTTGATTCCAGACCCCTATTCTTACAAGCCAAATAGATCCTAAATTCCTTCTCTTCTTCTTCTTTTAAGCTCCTATAGCCAATGTCAACTCCAGCACCGGCAGCCAGCCACCATATGATCTACATATTTCATCATGCACACCCTTCTAACATAGTGGTGAACAACATGACTTCACCATGTTCCTGTAAACTGGGACAAATTAGCCAGTTGCCTAAGGGCAATTCTCAACCTAAAACCCTAACAAAGTAGATATATTCCTTGGATGCGATTTTTTTTTTTTTTATTGTTGTTTCAACAACATTAACTGTCAGTCTTATTTGTGAAGCAGTTTAAGTTGGGTTGCAAATGGATTGGATCGAATTGGATAGAATATACTTAAATCCAAATATGATTCATCAATATTTAGATGATACTTGGATCAGATTCTGATATTAAAATTCACTGATAAAATAAACTAAAAATGACCAAAATATTATATGCATTTATAAAATAAACCAAAAATGAATTTGATATTATTTATCTTCAACTAAAATCACTTAAAATTAAATTAAATATAAACCATCTGAATCGGAATCAAATTCTAATTCAAACAAACCGAATAGTAATTTGTACTTCATGAGGCGTAGAGATGCCTTTCACATGTAGCTTGTCTGTTTGAAAAGAGTCCTTACAATCTAAATTATAGATCTTTCCAAGAATCAGACAAGAAGTCAAGAAAGCCTGCTGTGGAGACCAACAGCCCAAAAATGGCTTCTTCAAGTTTTAGGGTTATGGGATTTGCAGATGGTAAGTAGGGTAACACTGAATGCAATTGAATTGGTGGTCATTTTGTAACAGGCTGACACAAACTGGTTCCTGAATCATGTTGTCTGGTGATTTTTTGAACAAATGTAGATAGTTGAAGGGATTTTGGATAATGGGACGGTGAGAAGATGTGTGGTTGATGATGATTTTGCCTTCACATAATGTCAGGCCCAAAGGGTTCAATTTTCCTTGTAATTTCTTATTTTCATCCTTCTTTCGCTCTAATAAATATTGTGTTTTGGTCATTATGCAATCTTATATAATCAACAAAAAGTCCAAGAATTGGGGCAGTTTCTTTCTTTCTTTCTTTTTCGTTGGGCCTTCCTCTTAATCACAAACATACTTTAATTTGCTTGGTTTGAAAAGGTTTTTGAATTGATGAAAGCCTTATGATAAGGCTTTCAATGTTGCCAAGAGATGAATGAAAAAATTTTCTTCTATAGATATGGGAAGTGAGCGTGTGATATTGGTTATTTTGGCGTTTTCATCTGGTATAAATCAAATAGTAAACAGCCATGAAATAGACTACAATCAGAGAGCTTGAGTTTCTGTTTTTTCCTTGTAGGGAGGAAACATATAAACTTTAGGTTGCATAATTTTCCTGGTAAAATGGGTATAATTTTTTTTGGTTTAAAATATTTCAACTGTTATTTCTGTCCTTAAAAAAAAATTTGTTGCTCTCTCCCCTTCTAATAGGAACTTGATTTGCCAATTCCAATTTTCACTTGATTCCATCATTTGGAGGATTTGTTTGGGTGTCCCAGATCATGGGGAAATGAGGCGGAAAAAAACACCTAATTCAAATCCATTTCGCTTGCACAATCCAAACACTAGTCAGGATTGGAGAAGTTACAGATGCTTCCAATTCTAAAAAGCTTTCATCCACTGTTCAACTGAAAATGTTAGAAGCTTGTAAGCATCCTTAAACCAAATCAGTCGTAATCATACCAAAGCAAGTTCATCCTGCATGGACGGAAAGCTGTTTTCTGTATTTCGGATGTTGTTCTCTCTTTCTTAATCACTGTTCTCTTTTGTGGAAATATGATGGACAGGATAGCTCAGTGTGCCATCAAATCAAGCTCTATTAATTTGTTTTCCATACTAAGCCACCTGGCAAGTTTTGGGTCAATATTATAGCAAAGGAAATAAAAAGAGGCCCCACAAAGACGGGCTAAAGTTATAATAATTTATAATTTATGAGAGAGAATCCCAATGCCCCCAAGATGACCCCATTTGTTTCCCCTCAGTGTTTCTCTTTTACTAGGGGCAGATTGCAAAGTCGTTATGGACTAGCAACTGAAACAAACCCAATATCTCCAAGATGGCACCATTTGTTTGATGAGAACCCACAACCCCAATACACAAGGTGGGGCTTAGGGATGGCATGGACCAGCAAGTGAAATAAATGTGAAATGATTAATCAACTCAAAGGCCTATGATCACATCTCCGCCCCACAAGGGGCCGTCCACAATGCCCCCACAGCACATCCCGTCGTATATTGAGAACATTTTTCGATACTAATACTATCATCAGAAGATGTTCTCAATACATGGTGAGAATGTCCTCTACGGCGAAGATGTGACTCCCATATTATTAATCATTGAACCGGCTAATTGGCTATACTATTCATCCATGTGGCCACACCTAGAGATGCACACGAATCATGCTATTTGCAAGTAGACCTGTTCATGGGTCGGGTGGTTCGACGGGCCGGTCCGGCCCCCGGATGGGTTTGAACATGTTTATAGGCCTGCGAGCTTAAATTCGGGCCAAAAAGCCCGGCCCGCAATAAATTTGAGCTGGGCTCGTGTTTTGTCAAAATAGCCCGGCCTGGCCCAACCTAAAATTAGACTTAAAATGGGTTATGTGATTATATTCATTTGAATAAATTTTTTGATTTAAGAATGTAAAATTGTGTTTTAAAACGTAAAAGAAAGGGAAAACCATCTTGTAGGCCCATTGTTCATTTAAATAGGAAAAAAAACCATCTGAATTTTTAATTCTAATTTGAATAGGGAAAATTGTAATTTTTTTATCATCTTATAGGCCCGAGCTCGGGCTTCAGGCTTTTTATCAAGGCCGGGTCAGGCTCAGGCCTAGCATATTTCCATTAAGCCCATGAACAGGACTATTTGCAAGTCATTAGATCTCAGCTCGTAAAAAGTTCGAACCAAGCTAAAAATCGAGTTGAATTTAAGCCTTATGGCTGATGGCTTATAAACTTTTGGGTCAAGCTGATTTCAAGCATTATGGCTTATACTAATGAATTTTATACTTTTTTACTAATAATCTAATATTGGGTCTTGGCTTATGAAAAGCTCAATCCAAGCTACGAGCTGAGTAAAGTTAAATTCCAACTTATGAACTTTTTAGGGTCAAGTTGAATTCAAGCTTTATACTTTTTTACCAATAACCTAATATTCAACTGTGCTTGGCTCGTATCCACCACCTTGCCACATTTAATATTTTATAACCCAATTCCACAAACGTTGATTAAAGCACCACTGCTTGTGGAATCTCGATGTAACCTCCGCATCAAGCAAGCAAAGGTCAATTTTGAATTTGAACCATAAACCCTTTATTTATAAGTTGAGCTTTGATTTGAATTCCCATCACTCAAGTAAAAGGGTAGATTATTTAAGCTCCTACCGTTGGCCAATTTTATATTAGAGAAAAGTATGTATTGAGAATGTTTGCCTCCACAATACCCTGTTTTATAATCCCAAATCACTTTGCTTAACTGAAACCTTAATTTTATAATTGCTTATAACTGGACCACTTTATTATTTTTTTTTCTTTTTCTTTTCTTTAGGCTAATGGGCTACACAAAATCCAAGGTCCTCCCAAAATCCCTCCCAATCCTGATGAAGATGAGATCCAACACTAGGACTCAAATTTATATAACCAACAAAAGACTTTACCAAAAGCTAGTTAGTAGACTGACACCCCTATATATAGTGGATATCACTAATTTTTTTTTAGGCCAAATTTCAGTTGAATTGGATGAATTAATCAATTATATGACTGAACAACTTTTTAATCAAAGTTAAGACATTAAAAAAATGCCATTTCACTTTATTCATTAAAAAATTAATCTTACAATAATTAAGGTTTTATTTAGATAAACTTTTGCTTTTTGAGCTTTGAGTTGTGAAAATAAAATTGAAAAAAACAGTGTTCTAAGATTTTTTTTTTTAAGAAAAAGAGCTAGACAAACCAGGGATAGCTATTCTACGGGCATCACAAAATAAAATAAAATAAAAAACTAGCCTACCCTACAAGAACCCTCATTATGATAATCAAGGTTGGCAAGCCAATTAGCTGATGCATTCCCATCCAAAACACAGGGTAGCTCTAAGAGTTTTTTTAAAAGTCTATCGATCTAAATTTTAGAACACAAATTCTGAAGCTTATTCAAATACTTGATTTTTTTTTTCAAAACTGAACACTTAAAATTAATAATTTAGTTATAAATTTTATAAAATTATTGGGACAAAAATGTGTGCCCCACTTAGATAAAATAATAAAACGTTAGATTAACATTGGCAAGTTGCCTAGCCTTATTTTGTATTAACGTAATTGTATTAAATTAATTTTCATTTCATAAAAATAATAAAATAAAATTTTAATCAATTAATTAATTTTAGGTTACAGCTTTTCTGTCTTGTCTTGGGGCTTTATTAAACGACAGAAGGCTCTTTGACTCTGTTATCCAAAAGAGAAAGCGAAGTAATGAAAATGTCAAGTTCAGGAGGTCTCTCCTTCCTCCGCCTCCTCCTCTTCATATGTGCTGCTGCTTCCACCACCACCCTCGTCGGCGCCACCGACCATATCGTCGGAGCCAACCGAGGTTGGAACCCCGGAATCAACTACACCCTCTGGGCAAACAACCAAACCTTCTACGTCGGCGACCTCATCTGTAAGTCTTTTATTGTTTCATTACCTCAAAACCCCTTAAACCCTACCTTCTGATCTCACATTCTAATGCTTTTCTTTGATTCTCGGGGTTTCTACCTCCACAGCTTTTAGGTACCAGAAGAACCAGTACAATGCATTCGAAGTGAACGAGACGGATTACGACAACTGCACTCTTTATGGGGCCGTCGGGAACTGGAGCAGCGGCAAGGATTTCATCCTCCTTGATAAGGCGAAACGCTATTACTTCATATGCCCCAATGGTTGCTTTAATGGGATGAAGGTCTCCGTCCTCGTTCACCCTCTCCCGTCACCGCCGACTGCCGCTGCTTCGTCTGGGCACTCATCATCCAACAAAACCGCCGCCTCCGGTCAAGCTGTTTCCCGGCCGGGGTTCTTCATCATCATAGGGGCTTTGCTGGTTTCGCTTTCCTCGATCTGGGTTTGAATCTACCATGAACTTATGGACTTATTATGGTTAGTTTTGTGTAATGTGAGTCCCCACGCACTCTGCAAGTTATTTTCTTTGATCAATTTTTTCGAGGAGTCTTTGTTTTACTTGGTGCTGAGTCTATGTAATGAAGCATTGAAGCTGTAAGGCTTTTATAAATTTTTAAACTTTTCTACCCAATACCCACTTACTCCATTTCTGACGAGCAGAGCTTGTCAGTCTGCCATTACTATGTGTTCTTGACATCTTGTACATAGCTACATTCAGATGAAAGTATATCAAACTATCAAAATTATAGTTGGCATAGCTGACTAGCTGAGAGAGGGAGGACCCAAACCAAAAATGGTCAGAGACTCAGAGTCTGCAAAATCTAAAAATCTTATCTTTTTTGGGTTTGAGCTTGGCCCAAAATCTAGAAAATGGTAGGTCGAGATGACTGAACGTTGACAGCTGACATGCTAAGGGCCCAATTGTGGATCATGATTCTCTGTACTTGTGGAAACCTTGAACCCCCACCTCACCCCAGTCCCAGCAGAACAAAGCACGGCCTTGGCCCCCAGAGTCCCAGCGGAACGGAGCTTGTATATATGCATCCCTATAAAGGAGAGAAGAGAGTTTGATAATGGTAGACCGTTGAGCCATTCTTTGTAAGGCTGTGACCATCAGCTGATTCAGCTCATTATGGTTCAGATGAGGCTCATCTGATGAGCCAAGAAGCACAAATCTGAGGACACAATTACATGGTTCAGATGCAAAGATAATGGTCCTCAGAATAGGCTTGGCACTTTTTCCCTTGAAAGAACATAAACTGATAAAGCAATCTCTAATTCCAATATCCAACTTTCAAAGTATTACACCTGTCTCTAATATGGAAGTCTAGAGTCTCGACTGTTTCTATCGAGCAATCTCCCTCGTGCAAATCTGAACCAAATACAAATTTTGCACTCGGTTCAGTTTTGCCCCTATTTATTTATAACTATAATTTGATTTGCACTCCTCCCTATGCCTATCTTTATATGTTGCATCCCAAATAATTTATAGCACCTTCCTCTGCCTCGATTCTATCTCTTGTAAAGAAGAGACCACATCTTGCATCCCACCCCATTCCAACATCCCCTTCATTATCTTTCGGAGTCTCTATCTTTCGTATAAATTGGGGTCACACCATTTTGCTTCCTAGTTTATTTCTCACAAATCGGTCTATTTGGACTCTCTCGCATTTATATAAAACAAAGCATAAAAACACGAACCCTTGATGAGTTGGTTCAAGCTAACCATTTATTTGAACAACACAACACTTGTTAAAGGAGCAAAAGCTCAACTTGACTTAGTACTTCTCAGTTCTCACCATATACACACAGATGGTAAGTGTAAGAGATCGACTGAAATCACCACAATCAGAAGGAAAGAAAGAGGCTCAAGAAACGGTATCAAAAGTTTAATATAAGATTTATGTGAGTAATTGATGGAACGGAATTAAAGCTACTTGCGGGGACGGGTGGTCTCGGGGTCGCCTGCGCCAGCGGTGACCTTGGCCACATCCACTGCTGTGGCCTCAGGCTTCTTTTTGGCATACAAAGTGAAGTAAGCGATGGCACCCACTATGAGGAATCCGCCGGCGGCCATGGTCATAGGCGAGAAGGGTAAAGCGCGACGTTGGTGAAGCACGCCTCCTGGCTGCTGCCCGGGCGCCCTCTTCGATGCCTCCACTCCGGCAGCCTCTACGTCCTCTGGCCTCATTTTGTGCGTATCCGCCATCTTCCTCCAATCTTCTTCACCTGCCATCCTCTCTCTCTCTCTCTTTCTCTACTCTGTACTCAACGGCAGAGGGAAAAGAAAGAAGAGAGCGGTAGAGAGGAAAGAAGGGGAGGGTGGAGGGAAGGAGAGTGATTGATGGCCACGTTGGAGTCATGCATTTGTCCAAGTGGCATGCCATGCAACGTGGCAGTTGATAAGTTAGGGAAGCGACAAGTGTCCTACATGGGAATTTCAACCCATAATGCACAAACACGATATGTGGGTCCCTTCAATTAGGACTCAGATTCGCTGATCTTAGGCGTCTAATTGATCCGGAATTGTTTCTTCACCTGAGATTGAGGGGTCCGGTGGCATTGTTTTCCGACACATCACAGGCCATCCCATTACCATTAGGGGGTCTTCAGGCATAAAAAATTAGCTGCATTAAGCCCAAATTGTACCTTGGACCTTGAGAGTTGAGACCAAAATAGAAGCTTTCAGCCCGGTTCACCACTGACTTGACCCACCCGGCCCAACTTGCAGATTTAAAGAAGTAAAGAACAGCATCTACAATACTCAACACCCTTACTACTACTGCCTACTGATGGTACTAACCACAACTGGACGGTTGATCTGGTCAATAGGTAACCCAATGCTCTCCAGGTTTCATTTTTCTTTTTTTTTTTAATGAATTTTTTGGGCTAAACGATCTGTTGGTTAAACCCATAAAACCCTGATCCAGTAAGCTTTTTGGTTCTAACAATACCGATTGAATGCTAAAGTGGGGCGAGGTTGGGCTTTCCCAATTTACTTATGAACGCTGCTGCTGATACATTTTCTACAGAGGGAGCAACTGTAATGCTTTAATTAAGTTTTGTTTCCTTTTCTTCACAGAATCACAGCCACTAAGATGCAACGATGCATATTTTACAGAACCACGGTGGTGAAGACTGGAAAAGCAAAAAAGAACTGATGTCTTACAGTGGCCATGATCCTCCCTCAGACCCTCGCCATGTCGTTCAACGGTTCAAGTATGTTCGACCTGCCTCTATCATTCCTCCTAGTTGAGCACAGAAGCTTTGCACTTCAAAACCAATAAGAGCACCATGAGAAGCGCCAGAATCCCACACGAAGAGCCACCAACTCTGTGTATCCAGTAAGGATCCAACCTCGCAAAGCTCTGGTCCAAGTAACAAGACAAGCTGATGGCAAAGATGAGGACCAGAACTAGAAGCAACACAGGCAGCCAAGCAGCAAGGTGAATGGACGACTCGCCTTCACATTCACATTCAGAACACTCAACCGATGGCTTCCGATCGATGTACAAAGGTGACAGAACAGCAAGAAGGGACAAGCCTATGGCCACTAGCCTCTCCTTAGAATAAGCCCTGCCACCGACGTAGACAACTCTGTTGAAAGCCATAAGAGAAAGAGAAACCTTCTTCAGGAACAGTCTAGGCACAGATATAGTTGGGATATGAAGGGACTAGCTAATGTTGTTTAATTACTAGGGGTTAAAAGGTGAGTTTGGAGAATCTTGCAGAAGTTGAGGATTATATTCCTAGCTAGTAAGATATGGATTGGACTTATTCATGAAGCTTGGGATATATTAGGAGGGATGAATGTGAAATGAGATAGTGGAAAAGAAGATTCTGGTCCATATACAATATACATGGTTGATGTGTTTTCAGATGGAATCCGATTCTCATCTAAGTGATACTTCTTTCATCACTTTGTTTTGGCAACACATGGGAATTTTGCTTCAGATTTTTTTTTTTTTTTTCTTTTGGGGGGGGAGGTATATGACAAGTAAGAATAAAAGCTCCAATACAAGGTGTTCTATGAAGGCAAGGGGAGCGAATAAAGTGATTGGTTAATATAGAGGATCCTTTATTTGATTATTGTTCAAATGGTTAAGATAGAATTCCTCTGTGTGATAAAAATAGTTGGGTATATATAGAGAGAGAGAGAGGGTTTGGTGCACACAAGGCCCATTCGCATAACATGGAGAACTTTGTCTTTCCATGGTTTGAACTTGGTTGGGCCTACTATAGTAGGGGTGAGCAAGAATTTCAGTTAATCAAGTTGGTCGGTTCGATTTTGTTTGGTATTTTCGAAAAACTGAATATATCAGTTTAGTTTTGGTTAACCAATCAAACTGACGGGTATATATATTATGTATATATATATATATATATTATTATTTATATATATTTTACATGTATTTTATTATTTATAATATAATATTTTATTGTATTTTTAATTTTTTATTATATATTTATATATTTTTTTGTAATATATTTTATAAAGTCAAAAAACCGATGAATTGAACCAACCGTTAATCAAACCGATCAACCGATTAATCAATCGGCTTTAATTCGGTTTCAGTTACTGATTTTCCAAAAAAAATGGTACTATAGGTTCAGTTTAAAATTTAGGCCACCCTTACTCAATAGGGATGCAACTTGGGCAGGTTCAAGTTGGGCTTTTGTCAAATTTTAAATAAAATGCCTATTCAGGCTAACTGGAGGTGGAACCATTTTTAATATACAACAAATGACTAGGGTTCAATTCTTTTAATTTACATTTTCTTTAAAATACTTGCGTAATAATGTAATATGTACAATAAAGAGTCATTAATTAATATAAGTAAATAGGTGGATTAGTATTAACTAATATGTGAAAATAAAAGGTTTGTATTCAAATCTTATTAACAACATTTTAAAATTTCACTTGCGTATCAACATAGGTGGTTTCATGAAACTGCGACTGATTCATCGGCTTTTCGGTTAAAACGGCCAATTAGACAATTTTCACCAGGTTTTAAGCAAGTCCGGTTATTGAAATGTGACTGAACCAGTTAAGGCACTGGGTCATGGTTCAATTGGTTTGACTAGTCATTCCGGTCCGGTTTTCTAAACACTAGGCTAACCTGAGTTACAACCCTACTCAATTTGAAGGATATCTTACGACCAACTCCAAACAAGTGAAACGGCAGTGAAAACAGAATTCAATCCGAAGTTTATTGAACCAGCCAAAGACCTTACCACCAAGTTGGTTTGCACCTTTGAGAGCTTTCATTATTGATCTAATAAAAACCATCATTATTTATTTACTTATTTAAAATACTTAAGAAAATAGAATAAATATTATATCTATATTTATTTAAATGATGTAAAAATTTTCTTTACTAAAATACCCCCCTCTCTAATTCTAAGGGCTTTTTTTATGCCAAATGGCAACAAGGAAACTCAGGTATAATCAGAATTGATCACCTTTGATGATAATTAGGAAGGCACGTGTGACCAAGTATAAGAATTAGAATTTGAAAGAGCATGGCGAGCAACTTGATGAACGGCCAAGCTACTGCTTCGAAGTGTAAACTGTACTGAGCAATGAATTTCCTTTTATTAAGTCTTATGTTTAAGGTATTAATTCTCATTTTCTATCATAAATCTTATATTTAATTTATTTTTTTCATCAATTAATTTTACTAGTTAGATCTGAATTCAATACTTTTAACAATATTCATTCTTTTTTAAATTGACCAAGGAATACAACCATTCTTCCTTCTAGGTGGTGCATAAGAAATTCAAACATCTGAGTGAAATAGATCAGTCCATTATGTCATAGTTAAACAACAAGTTTTTTAAATAAAAAATAAAAACAAGCATTGAAAAAAACAACATTATAGAAAATTTTGGGCATATCTCTAATTTTTTTCTATTAAACATGTTAAAAAGCATAACACTTCTTTTTATTGACGATGGAAATGAGATGCAAAATTTAAAACTGACCCAAAAATGAAATTATTTTCTAGTTTGGTAACAAGTCAGTTTTTGGCCAAATGTGTTAACAATTGTCATAATTAAATAATAAAAATTAAAAAGAAGACAAAAATACAAATAATTTGTAAAAATCAAGAATTTTATAGAAAGCATTTGGCCTCATCTCTAAAATTTTATATTAATCACATCAAAGAATAAAAGTGTGGTAAATAATAATTGTTTTTATTGATGATGGAAATGAAATACAAAATTTAAAAGTGACCCCCAAAATGAAATTGTTTTTCCATTTGGTGGTGCGTCAATAGTTCAACCTTTTGAGTCAAATGTGCCAACCATTGATGTAATATCTACATAATAAAATTTAAAAAAAAAAGATAAAAATATAAAAAATACAGAAATTTATTAGAAAATATTTGGACACATATCTAATATCATATATTCATCATATTAAACAAAAATAAGTGTGATAAATAAGAAATATTTTTATAAACATAAAAATATAAAAAAATTATGAAAAATTTAAACACATATTATTATTACTATCGTCATCATCATCATCTAAGCTTACCACATGCAAAGAACATGCATGTTTAAAATGTTATACAACTAAATAGTGACATAGATTATAAGTATAGAAACCAATAAAAACTGATGCAACTAAGAATCAAACGACTCGGCCAAAAGTCGAAAGAGTGGCCGGAGCCTAACAAAAGAAGTCACTACAATGACTTGGCTCCCATACTTGAGACAATAGTGTATTCGAGGTAGTTTTAGAGTAAACTCTGAAGTTGCCAAAGTTATAGCTATACTTGCAGTCATTAAGATGGTGAATGGTAGGAGCTCGGGTTTTGTCCTCACAAAATTGTTTCTTACAACACTTCAGCTGTGCACCGGAAACATTTTCCCATTAATGAAAACATACAAATACGAAGATGTTCCCAATGCACAGCTGCAATTATTGTGAGAATAGTATAAGAACCAATTTATTTTGTGAGGACCAAATCTGATCTCGAGATAGAGGTAAGGTGAATGTGAGTCCCACAGACTATACCATAAAAAACCTATAGTTGTGCGGTTTGATCCTATGCCTCTCCTTTCGGATGCAATAGTTGGCTTTTTTTTTTTTGAAAAAACTTTGTCTCCTAATTTTTAAACTTCTTTATGGCTTTGGAACATGATATTGTGAAAAGTTCAAAGAATTGAGGAAGTTAATTCTTATGAAGTCATACTTACACCTAGACCTATGCATGCAGGTCTATTTACACCAATATATATATATTTTGTTTTAAATACTACACGTTACATACATTAAAGGGGAACTGGGAGTGAGGCAGAGACAGAGCACATGATGCTCACTAATTAACCATGCCATAGAGAATCCATAGTTCCATGGGTTTGATAATATGACTCTTATTTGGAACAATACTTAGATCCTACCTAGTTGGAGGACATGCATCTAACCACATGAATTTTGTGTTAATTTTAGGGTTTAATGTTAAGGATTAGGACTTCAGGATTCAGGATTTAGATGTGAAAATCGAGAGGGTAGGAGCAAGGTAAAGCCCCTTATAGCCTATAGGATGCCAAGTAGGGATTGCAATGTCCACCTAGCAAGTACCTGCCCCTACCCACTTTAAGATTTCACAAGTAGTACATGTATGGGTAGGGTATAGTATTAAGCTAAACCCAACACTCTCCAATTGGTGCAGTTCGGAAAACAAATCACATTCAGAGAAGCTTCAAAGAAAAGAACCAAAGCTAAAAAAATAGGAAGAAGATCAATTCTTCACTGAATAATTAAGAAAAAACCAATATAACTACCTCTAGCTTAGGCTTGCTACTCTTTATATAGAGTTCTTTACACCCGTATGCTTCCTAGAAGAAAGTTTCCTAATTTAATTGAACACTCCTCATTAAAATTCTATTAAGTCTCTTCAAAAAAGAAAGTCCTAATTGAACACAAATTTGCAAATCCCGTTATGATCATAACTTAGTAAGTGGGAATCAAGATAGCTAGATACAAAATTCTTACAATGAAACTATTTTGGTAAATACAAACTAAGATGGGTCATCGAAATCAAACTTGGCAAATGTTTACTCAGTTGGGTCAAATCCCATAGTGCATCACCAACCTACATATTGTTGTTGTAAGGCAAATAAACTTAGGCATTATGTGTTCTAAGTTAATAATGTTTTAAATCTTATGTAAAAGATAAATGATAAAGTGATAGTGGTTGCGTATTTTCTATATTTTTCAGTCAAATAATTGGAAATTTGATGTTTGTTCATGTTATTTTGTTTGCTCATAGCTTATATAACATAAAATTAGACGTGGGTTTTAAATGTGGGGAGGGTAAAATCAGGGAAGATTTGGATTCTAAAAATCTAACCGTTTACAAGTTTTTGTGAGGGTATGGGTTGGAAGATTTGGAAAAATGAAGAATCTAAAACTTACAAATCCCTCTTCGAACCTGCTCCATTGTCATTTGCCTAGTTACAATCTAGATGGTGGGGTCAGCGGACAAAAAAGAAATGATAAGTCCTTTTTTTCTTTTGCTTTGTAAGTTGGAACATGATGTTACTAAATAATCAATCAAAAAAAATTTTCAATCTCCTACCCACACATTACTACACCTTCACATTGAGAACATCTCCTGTATTTATATATTACCATTCATGGAAGATGTTCCCAATGTACTAGTGTAGTGTCTTATACGTAGGTGTGGGTAGGGGCATATCAAATAGGTAGGTTCTACCCATAACTGAATGGAATTGACCTCAAATCGGCCTTGAACCGACCCTACCCAATCTGTCAAAGGGTAGGGTTTGGTTCCAAATTCTTGGAACTAACCCTCCACCAATGCCAGTTCTAGGGTCTAAGGATTTACTCTACTCAAACCAACCCGATGAACCGACCTTGGTGGAACCTGCCTTGTAGCCGAGCTTGCCTTGAAATAAACCCCAAAATACTTTTTGGGATATAAAGATTTGAAC